ACATGCTAAATAAAAAACCAGACAAACAAATTATCAATAAAATAGTAACTAATGATATAATAATCGAAAATATAACTGAAATATGTAACACTTTTAATAACTATTTTGTCAATATCACTAAATCATTATTAGATAATACAAATGATAACGCACAGAATCAGAATAGTATTAATTTAATTAAGCCAATATGCAAATCTTTTTATCTTGAATTAACTAACGAATTAGAAATAATAGGATTAGTTGGGAGTATGAAAAACAAAAAAAGCACATCCGATGATGAACTAAGTAATTATTTAGTTAAGCAAATAATAAATAATATAATTGTCCCATTAACCCACATATGCAATTTTTCACTGTCACAAGGAATTTTTCCTCAGTGCTTTAAAACTGCGAAAATTCTACCAATATTTAAAAAAGGTGACAGACTGGAAGTATCTAATTATCGAACCATTTCTCTCCTCTCGCCACTCTCAAAAATTCTAGAAAGACTAATGCACTCTAGATTAAACTCATTCTTAAGTGCTAACAACATCATTACAGATAGGCAATACGGCTTTCGACCAAACCATTCAACAGAGCTTGCTGTGTTGGAGTTTGCACAAAGGGTGATGTATAATCTAAACGAAAAATTCTTAACTGTCGGAATCTTTATAGACCTGTCAAAAGCCTTTGATCTTATAAACCATGAATTACTTTTACAGAAACTGCGAGTATATGGAATCAGAGGAGTAGCTCTTAATTGGTTTTCCACTTACCTAAAAAATAGAAAACAATATGTCTCGATAAATGGACACAATTCGGAGAAGTTAATTATAAACTCCGGTGTTCCGCAGGGATCAATACTGGGACCATTGCTTTTTTCGGTGTTTATTAACGACCTCTGTCTGGTTCCTACTACAGCTCAATTCTTACTTTTTGCTGACGATGCCACTATCTTTTTTCATACCAAAAATCCTCAAGAAGATCAGATAATAATTAATAATAACTTAAAATATATAGGAAACTGGTTTTTATTAAATAAATTAATAATAAATTATTCAAAATGTACTTATTTAATATTCGGTCCGAAAATAATTACAAATAATGACTTGACAATATCAATAAATGACAAAATAATATCTCGTTCCACTGAAACAAAATTTTTAGGTATAGTAATCAGAGATAACCTGTCATGGGATTTGCACATTAATTCAATATCACAAAAATCATATAGAATCATAGGTATGCTACATAAAATTAAACATAAAATTAATAAAAATATATTAGTAAATCTTTATTATGCGTTAATTCATACTTATTTGGTCTATTGTAATCTTCTTTGGGGCAATAGTCTAAGACCTTAATCTAATTGTCGTAACAAAAAATCGATTTATTCGATTGCTGCTTGGCCTTCATCCACGTTGCCACATAACTGGTTATTACACGGAGGCAAACATTCTTAGCGTTAAAAATTTGCATCTTTACTTTCTGGCAATCTTCGTGTTTAAATACTTACAACAAAAGTTACCAAAATTTTTTCTAGATTTCTTTACCCTAGCGTCAAATGTCAAAACAAAAGTCTTGAGAAGCGCGCATACATTTTATTTTGTATCGCAGAGAATTAAATTAGTGAATTCAAGTTTAAAAATAACAGGACCAAGAGTCTGGGACGAGCTAATTCCGCTGGAAATAAAAGAAATTACTTTGATCCATTTATTTAAAAATAAGCTCAAAAATTATTTAATTAATAAAAATACTTATTTTTTATAACAATAATTATAGTATCAATAACAAGAAAGACGACCACTTTGATATGGAGCGCGAATATATTATGAAAGTGTATGAAAGGATATGAATGTGTATGAATGGATATGAATGTGTATTAATGGGCATGAATGTGTATGAATCTATATGAATGTGTATGGATTGTTATGAATGTGTATGGATTGTTATGAATGTGTATGAGTGGGCATGAATGTGTATGGATGGATATGAATGTGTATGGAATGATATGAATGTGTATGGATTGATATGAATGTGTATGAGTGGGTACGAATGTGTATGGATGGATATGAATGTGTATGGATATGAATGTGTATGGATGGATATGAATGTGTATGGATGGATATGAATGTGTATGGATGTATGAATTGATATAAATGTGTATGGATTGTTATGAAGGTGTATGAGTGAATATGAATGTGTATGGATGGATATGAATGTGTGGACATGAATGTGCGTGCATGAGTGAATTATGGATCTAAAGTACTTGAGGGAGCATGAATATGCTTCGAACGATAAACTTTTTACGGTAAACTTCAAAATGAAAATGAATGTGTGTGATAGTTCTTTTACGGTAAACATTTTATAAAAATAGAATTTGTTTTGTAATAGACTTTCTACGATAAATTTTTCATAATGAGTTAATAACATCATGATTCTCGCATTTGCCTATGTAATGATCCTTTAACGATAAACTTTTTAAAATATGCCAAAATTGATATTTGAATTTGTTTCTGTAATGAACCTCTACTGTGAATTTTTCGTGTCGATTCAATCTTTATTTATTTAATTGCCAATATTATGGGAGGTGAACATTATTTACTTTTGAAATGCAAATGTATAAATTTTTGTGACGTATGTTCGCGTGCATGAATTACCATCATTTTTAATTTCTTCATTTTCAATTAACTTTGTTGAATTTTTTGTTGAACTTGGTTGAAAGGACAACTTTAGTTAAGGCACTATCACAAGTATTATGTTTACTTTTTTGTGCTTCTTCCAATAAATAAATAAAAATATATATAATAAATCATTAATGATACTATTACCATTATCTGGGCAAGTAGCAGCACCACTGCATGTGACGAAATCTATTGAAACAATCTATATTCTCAAAAACATATTCACATTTTTCATCTGTACACTGGTTTCATTCATCCTCGTTCTCTTTTCTCTCTCCCAACTCCACGTTCTCCTTCATCACGTGTTGTTGAAGAAACCTGGTCTAGCGAACAACGTTGTGGCCAATTACAGACCCATTTCGAACCTTACCTTCGTATCCAAAACAATTGAAAGAATTGTCGCTCGCCAGCTCCTTGCTTATCTAAACAAAAACTCACTACTTCCAAAAGTTCAATCAACTGAGACAGCGATCTTAAAGTGGTTTCAGATGTCTGTGACGCCATTGATGCTGGTAACATATTATTGCTGGCACTTCTCGATGTAAGTGCTGCTTTCGACACAGTTGACCACCAGATTTTATTGAAGCGTCTTTCTACTTCATTTGGTATTGGTGTAGATGTTCTCAGATGGTTCCAGTCCTACCTAACGGACAGGTCTCAAATTGTCAGTGTTGGAAGGAGTGGTCTGGGCACGGCTTTTTCAGAATTGATCTGCGGTGTACCACAAGGTTCAGTACTTGGTTCTTTGCTATACACCGCAAGGTTCAGTACTTGGTTCTTTGCTATACATCATGTACACTGCAGATATTGTCAACGTCGTCGAAGCAGCCGGCCTTGGCTGCCACTTATACGCTGATGATATTCAACTTTATGGATTTGGACTACTTGACTCATCACTTCAAATCTCCTCTGCTGTGTCGAATGCAGTGGACTTGTTTAGTCGCTAGATGTCATCTAACATGCTTAAACTCAACGTCAAAAAAACTTGAATTTGTGGATGGGAACACCACATGGCCTCAGCCGTTTAAAGGACTACAAAAATCCAGTAACGAATCTCGAGTCATACTGGATCCTCATCTTTCATTTGAAAAGCATATTAGTCAACTCTGCCAGCGATGTTTCTACCAACTCCATAGAATAAGATCTATCAGACGTTTTTTGACAGTTGAGTCAACAAAAGCACTCGTTTGTAGTTTTATCTGTGAAGAATTGACCACTGCAATGCGATTATGTTTGGTGTCAACTCATCCCTTCGAAATGACGAAATGATTTGCAGTCTGTTTTGAGCGCTGCAGCGAGACTTGTTGCTGGTTATTCGAAATTCGACTCAATTTAATCATACGTTAGGGATGATTTACACTGGCTCCGCATGCCAGAAAGAATCGTTTTCAAACTAGTTCTTCTAATCAGAGATTGTCTTGCTGGTGACGCTCCAACTTATCTGAGGAAACAACTGCAGTTAGTTTCAGAAATTGCAAATCGGAGTCGACTGAGATCTTGCGATAATGGTGATCTTATGCTTCCTAGATTCAATTCGTCTTGTTTTGGGAAAAAAAGTTTTTTTGTTTCGTCTGCAAAAATGTGGAACTCACTACCTGTACATTTGAAAAAATTCAACAACATGAGCCGACATGTTTTCAAGAAACGTTTGAAACATCATTTGTTTTGACACTCTCAAGTGAAGCTAGCGCTTCTGAAGTTATTCAATAAGGGCGCTACACAATTCCTTAGATACATATACAGATATCAATCAATGGGCATATTTTTTGTTTTTATCTTGGACAATGATATCTGGTCTGTTTGCTTTTCTATCTGTTATAACTGGTGTGTCCTATAAAATTTGATCATTGACATAGTTCGTTTCATTCTTCGGTTCACATGTCTCTAATCCAACCTGTCTACTTATCACCCAGTGAATATAGCTTGCAACTCGATTGTGTCTTTCGGTATAATCAGTTGGTGCTAATACAGTACATCCAGATCTGACATGGCTAATGCTTTCAACATGTTTGTGACACGTTCTGGAGAGACCATTAACATTTTGTTTGAGTATTCTTTTTTGAAAGTATTTCTTGTTTAATGCTTGATCTTGTGCAGCAATTAGCAGACCTTCGGTTTCCACCTTTAGTCCTGAGCTGCTTAACCATTGCCATGTTTTTTTCAAATCTATTCCTGATTTATCTATATTGTTAAAAAATTGACCATGTACTTGTTTCTTTTTGTACTTTTTACATGATAATCTTCCAGACGTTTTTTAAATTCTTGTTAGCTGACATCTTTATCTATGGAATGACAATTTTTTATTATACGTACTTCTTTAGAAATTGAATATTTTTTCTAATTTTTATCAGCTTTTACAATTATTTCAACTAGTCTGTCTTGTTTCTTGAAAATGTACTCGTTGAGGTTCATAATTGTCTTTTCAAAAAAGTCTTCTATTCCTATTAATTCCCTACCTCCTTCATCTCTGCCAAAATACAATCAATCAACATCGTCATTCGGATGATGTGCTCCTCCCATAGTCAAAAATTTTCTTGTTCTTCTGTCTATTTGCTGTAACTCTGATCGTCTCCATTCAATGATTTTAATTTAATTTTACAATAGTATTTTTTTTAAATTGTTTCTTCATCATTTGTTGTTGCACTCCTTCCGCTTCTTCCATCCCAAAATATCTGTACGTTTCTTCCGCATCTACAACTCTAAAGCGGATATCCTGATCAACATTTATGCCACTGCTTCGCACCACCGCACCTCTTCTAATAATCAGAGTAGCACACTTGTCTAATCTAAATTTCATTTGTATATCACAACTGAAGTTGTTTAATATCGTTAGCGCTTTTTTAAGTTGATAATCGTTTGGCATAACGAGCTTGTGGGAACAGTGGGAACAGAGACATACAAAACTGCAACGGTGAGAAAGTCTACTTGGAAGATTCCTGTTATGATTTCTACAGTCTCCGTCAATATCACACCCTGGTCATAGCAAAGGCACACCTTAGGACATTGAATATTTAATAAATTGTCTAACCTCACTGGTATTTTGTAAATGGCCATAACTTCCTTAATCCATGAGTGTGGGACACTGTCAAATGCCTTTCTATAATCAATCCGTGCTATGCTTAAATCTTTTTTGCCTTATCTCTTTTGTCTTTAAGTGCTGATCAAATTATTGCCATGTTCACCAATAACTGATCTTTACATTTCCTAAAAGGCTTTTTGCATCCTTTTTGTTCTAGAGGAAATAAGTCATTCGCACATAAGTAATCATATATTTTGTTTGATATGGCACTGGTGAAAATTTTAAACATTGTGGGAAGACAAGTTATTGGCCTATATTTACTAGGGTCTTTAGTGTCTGGTCCTTTGGACATCAAGAATATCATTCCAACTGTCAACCACCATTCAGGTATAAATGATGTATTTTTAATTAATTTATTGAATATTTCTGTTATCATTTGATAAACTGCAGGAAGTTTTTTAATCCAAAAATTTTGCACCTCATCTGGTCCTGTTGTTTTCCAGTTTAATGTTTGTTGAATGGCTTTAGTAATTTCATCAAATTTCATTAGTTTAATGTTTGTTGAATGGCTTTAATAATTTCCTCAATGCTAAAATCCATCCAATTAAATTCACCCAAGTGGTTAAAGACATCTTTTATACCTTTAATCCAGTCTGCATTTCTGTTATGCTCCATATCATTTTCTAATATCTGTCTCCAGAAACTATCAATATCTGATAAGAATGGGGGATTTTTCATTTTTCATTTCTTGTTTCTGGTTTCTAATTTGTCTATAAAATATTTTTCTATTATTATTAAACATTTCATTGTGATAAATCTGATCACTTCGTTTGCTATATCTTCGTAGTCTTTAAACTTTTGCCTGCAATCTCATTATTGTCATGGCTTGAACTTCATCCAGTCTTTGCTATGTCAATTTTTCTTTTTCATAAACTATTGCTACCTTTTTCCTGACATTTTGACTAGTGTTTCCATTCTTGAATTCATTAATTAGTGCAAGTTCTTTTCTATAATTGTTAATAATTTGTTGAATTCTTTTTTTCCATGGTGGTGTTCTATCTTCTTGATGTGATCTTATTTTTTCTACTTTTTCACCTGCGATAACCAGTGCTATTGTATAAATCATCAACTTTAATTCTGTCAAGTTTAGATTATTTGATGTTATTAATTGTTTTAAAGCTTCGTTTGCTATTATTAGGTCTTTTGATATTTGTCTAATGTTTATAATTTTGTTTGTATTTTTTCTTTTGCCAATATCAATGTTTTGGATTTCCAGCATTTTTTGTTGAATTTTTTTCATCATCTTTTCAACCTCATTTTCATCTGTAGACTCATCTTTTTGAGCCAGTTGATTTGTTGTATTTTCTGATCATCTGAAACATCAGTTAATTTTTTTTGAATCTTAGTCCTTTAAGTTACATCATTAATTATATCTTCTAAATCTTATGTCTCCTGACTCATCTGACTCCTTGGAAAATTCCGGAGAAAGCTTTGGTGGGTCGGCAAACTGAGAAGGTCGAGGGTGCTATCACGGTCGGAAACGTCGTTTCATCAACTGCAGCTCGACAGACCAATATTTTTCGTCATTGAACCGACAGCACAAACTCCTGACCACAACTTCAGACGTCTATCCATAATTAAAACTTACAGGTTTTTTTCAAAATCTTGTTGGAAAACTATAATCCATTAAAGTACTTCCAAACCGAGTTCTTATTAAAATAAAAAATAAAGAACAAAGGAAAATAATTATAAAAATAGATTCTCTGATAAATGTAAAAGTTAAAACTACTCCACACAAAGAACTTAATACTAGCAAAGGTGTGATTAGAACCACAATTTTTAAAAACTGCTCTGAACAAAAGATAAAAGAAGAACTGCTCGAGCATGGTGTCATTGATATTTACAACATAAAAATTGCTAAAAATAATCAAATAATATCCACCAACACCTTTATTCTTACATTTCAAAATACACAAGTTCCTCAAGAGTTAAAGGTCTGCTATAATTTGCTAAAGGTAGAAAAATTCATCCCTCCACCCATCAGATGTACCAAATGTCAAAGATATGGACATCACCACAAAATATGTACAAGTAAGGAAACTGTATGTGTCAAATGTGGAAAAACAGGACATAAACATACATGGGATTCCCCATGCCAAAACTCTCCAAACTGCTTTCACTGCAAACAGTATGACTCAATCTCAACATCATATTACTACCAAACACCATTTTGTAGCATCTAAAATAACATATAATAAAACTATAACAATATGCAATAGGTAGATGAACCCAAAACTATTGATGAAATCTAAGGAAATAAATCAGATAGTCGAACAGATCCCTAAACAGTTCCTCTTTTTGGGTGATTTCTATGGGCACAGTCAGTTAGTTGTGGGGTTGTCAAAGTTGAAATCCTCGGGGAAAAGGATTGGAAAAAGTATAGTTGAAAATGATCTCTGTCTCGTCAAACCAACCAAAACAACATTTTTTCAAGAACACACAAACTCATCTTCTATAATTGACCTGGCCTTGTCAACTCCATCCCTCTTTGAGGATATTGAATGGGATGCTGAGGAAGATCTTCATGGCAGCGATCATTTCCCAATAATACTAACAATTAAAAATAAATCCTCAACAAACAATCAAAGAGAAAGATTAAATTAAAAATAACCGATTGGCTTAAATTCAAAAAAATGACATAAGAAACGGGAAAAGAATTTAAGGCAATAAAGGACGACTCAATGGGCAGATGGATAGCCACCATAACAACAATCAATCAATCAATCTTCGTTTAGCGTCCAGAAACCCAGTTCCTCAAGGTAGGACGTTGTTTTCTTTGCCATCAAATTTTTGCGCCAAATTAGACGATCAGTTGTATCCATTTCATTTAATTAAATTTAGAGCTTTCATGTCTTGCTCGATTGTTTGCGACCAGGACTTCTTTGGACGGCATATGGGACGTATTATAACCATAACAACAATAATAAAACAAACAACCCCGGTTATACGAAATAAAAAATCCAAGATAATAAATCTTTGGTTTAATAATTAATGCAGAGATGCAATTAAACAAAAGCAAAACGCATTCAAAATAATTAAAAGCAACCCTATCCAATCCAACTTCATCAATTATGAAAAATTAAAAGCTGAGGCTCGCAGAACCTTAAGAGAAGAAAAGAGACTCTGTTGGAAATTTTTTATCAATAATAATCATACCGGTATAACTCCCATTAAATAAGTCTGGGAAATGGTCAAGAAAGTGAAAAAGAAAAATAATGATAATAAAATCAGCCAATTAATTTTAAATAACAAATTATACAATTCTGATGAGGAGATTTCAAATATATTAGCAAACAACTTCTACCAAAACTCAAAAATCCAAAATAAGACCTTTGCAAACATTAAAATCAGAGAAAAAAATTTATTAGATTCAAAAGAACAACTCAACTCAAAAGAACAAGAATTATACAATATGCCTATCACCATGAGAAAAATTCTATTTGAAATTAATGACAGTAACGAGTCAGCACCTGGACCCGATCATATCACCTACAAAATGCTGAAAAACCTCTTCAAAAATGCTCTATCTGTGCTTTTAAAAATCTATAATTATATATGGTTCGGCACAAAAATTCCAAATGTTTGGTTGCAAGCAATAATCATACCCATAAATAAGCCTCAAAAAAACAAAAACCATCCAGATAATTACAGACCAATCTCTTTGACCTGCTATACCTGCAAGATCATGGAGAAATAGTAAACAATAGATTGAACTGGTATCTTGAAGCAAATGAAATATTATCAAATTATCAGTGTGGTGGAATCAAGGGAAGATCAACATTAGATTATTTAGTTACTTTAGAAACTTATATAAGAAAGTCATTAATTCAAGGTGAACAAGTGATAACCTTGTTTCTGGACATCGAGAAAGCATATGACACAGCACGGAAATACGGCATCTGTGAAAAATTGCATGAAATTGGATTAAAAGAATGCTTGCCCAAATTCATCCAAAGTTTCCTTTCAAACTGGTCATTTAAAGTAAAGATTAATAATGTCCTTTTAGAAACGATATACCCGGAACTAGGCATACCTCAAGGCAGCATCTTGTCTCCAAAATTATACTGTCTAAACTTATATAATATTCTTAAAATATTTCCTAAGAATGCAATGGTTTGCCTCTACATGGATGACATCACATTCAGTTTCAGAAACAAAAACCTTAACAAAATGCAAAATGAAATAAACAAATTTTTAAAATTCATTGAAAATTGGGGTTTGGGAAATGGAATAAATTCTTAAAACCAAAATCTAGAGCCATGCTATTCTCAAGAAAAAAAAATATCCCTAAATTAAGTTTCCAAGATAATATTATGGAATTTTCACAAAAATACAAATATCTAGGAATAACCTTTGATACAAAACTAAACTTCATTCCACATATTCAGGAAATAAAAGAAAAATGCTTCAGGGCACTTAATTTAATTAAAGTTCTTTCTCATTCCACTTGGGGAGCCGACCAAAAACATTTAATGACAATTTTCCATGCAACTATACGGGCATTTACAGCTTATGGGTCCCTAGTATATGGTGTCACTCGGAAGTCATATATAAAGATTATCCATCCAATGCCTAATGAATCATTAAGAAGATGCCTGGGTGCGTACAAAACATCTTCATATCTCCATCGAGCAGTCTTCACGTTTCGACAAGAGAGATGCCATTAAATTTCAGACACCAAAAACTGTCCATAAACTATTATCTTAGAATCAAATCCCAGATGAATAATCCGGCCTACAAAATCATATCTGAAAAAACTAAAATTACCAAATCAAAATCTATTCATACGTTTGCAGTCAGACTAGATGAACTCATTAAAGAAATAAAAAATATAAAAACTGTAGAAAAATTAAAAAATGAAGTCCCTCCTTGGTTACTAATCCACCCAGAAATAGATATCTCCATTACAAGAATAGAAATAGATCATAACGTAGAATTAGCAAAAACAATAGTTCGAAAAAAATTAATAACAATTTAAGCTTAATTCAAATATACACTGATGGCTCCAAAAGAGGAAGCTTAACAACCTCAGCAATTGTAGTTTACCGACAAAAGAAATGCATTTATACTTCAATTACACATTTTCCAGATTCTACTTCAATATGCACTGCAGAGATATTTGCCATAGACATGGCGTTAAAATTTATCCCGAAATCCACTGAAATATTATCATAATATTTTCTGATTTCTTGTCTTCCCTTTCTGCTCTAAGTCAATAGAAACCTCAGCATCAATTAATAATACATATGCAAAACAAAATCCGTAACATCTTGAACAATCCAATAAATTGATCATTATGTGGGTCCCCAGTCACATTGGAATTAAAGGGATCGAAGAGGTAGATCAGATAGCATCAAAATCTCATTCAATTCCAATTTCATGCATTCCAATTTCAGCCACTGATTTGAAGCACCTAATAAATAACATCACTAACAAAAAATGGCAACAAGAATAGAACAAAATCTCAAATTTTTTAAAGTTAAGTACACCGACAGTAAATAACAAAACAATTGAAATACTTATTTAAATCGCCATATGCGAACTAAAATCAATAGATTAAAATAGGCCATTTGGCAGTCACCCATTCCTGGATCCTCAGAAGAACAAACCCTCCTTTTTGTGAAATTTGCAATCAAAATCAATCCACTCATCATATAGTAATAGAGTGCAAGAAATAC